TTTTACTTCTCGTTATGATCGCCTTCTTGCATCCTCAAAACGGCCCTAGTGCCGCTTGCAAGCGCGGTGCCAAGTCGCATGTTTCGCAGCCAGCGTCATGCTTTGTAGATACACAAATCGCGCCCATCTTTTCCTGCGACACGTCATGAAATTGGCAGCCACTGCTTCCCGGCTGCAAAACCGCTTCCGTAGACTCCTTGCGATGAGGAACAGCGTAACTGATATACCGCCACGGCTGCCCCGCGTTTCGACCCTGCGTGTCTGTAGACGAAACAGTCACGCGACCTGCCTGCATTGCGCACCCTTTCCTCACGTCTGAACGCCCACGCAAGTAATTACACACAGCGTAGGACAAAGCAACGTACTTGCACGCAATTTCTTTCATTGAGTTCTCAAGTGCCCACAAAATCGTGCACTTCGGTTCTCGTCTTCCAAGTACATTTTATATGTATCTGGTGCTGGACAGTTATGACTTGGAATTATCGTGTTTTTTTGACGTTGACGAGCCATCTTCAACGGCTCCGAGTATTGCGCAAGTACGAACAACAGCATTTCTGCTGTCTAGAGACGACAAGAGACCTCATTTGAGGCCATTTGATCTCATGTGAGGCCACTTATCAACTAATTCTTCTAGACCTGTGTTTGCTCAACAGGAACGAAAAAGATACTCTCGCCACCGCAGGGGACTTGCGCGTGGCGGATGGGTGGAGTTTTTGGTGGGATCTACACGTCTTTTCCAGCCATTTTAGAATGCCTAAAGAAGAAGCCTTTTTGACCAACCTCATAACGTTATGCGTTGATGTCTTTGAAACCAAAACCCCTGTTTAAAATGGCAACCGACTATTGAAACTTCATTACATTCTTAGTCTTTGTGTGTATCAATATATAGCAGTTGTCAATACACGTATTGACAACTGCTATCCAAATGTTTTGCAAGGTGTTATTGCCGAGGGCATATACGTTAAAGAAATAGCGTCCAAATTGACTTTCTAAAGTTTCGATTTAATGTATATATTTTTGCAAAACAAGCTGGCCTCATATGAGGCAAAGTGCCGGTCGTCTATAATGCACAATAGAGTGTCTTTCCGACAGGGGCTTGTCCTCATAGTATGAGGACCGCGATGTCCTGCCCTCATATGAGGGCAACTCTTTTTGTTGCAAAAACATATAAATTAAATTGAACATTTAAAAAGCTATCTTGAACCTATTTCCTTAACGTATTTGTTTTCGGCAATAACATCTTGCAGAACTCCGAGATAGCAGCTTTGATTGTGCACAGAGATTAATAATATAATGCAAACTGAATATCAAGTTGTGTTTTTAAACTGGCGTTTTTAGTTGCCAAATTATTTTACAGGCGGTTTTAAGGTGGTTTAAAAAAGCTTCACTTCCAGACATATCTAAGAACAACCAGGAAGATCATGCAATTCTCACAAACTTCTTTCTGGCTCTGACGCAAAATTCAAGTGTGGTCGGCGGCGGGGTATTTTTCCTTCTTTTCGAGAAGCGCAAGTCAAAAAAGAAGAACACGAATAGTGTCCTCATATGAGAATAATAGTCCGATAGACACAAGAGCAAAACAGTTATAAAAGGCTAATTTGACACATCCCAATAAACTATGATGTTTCTTTCACGAGTGTCTATCTGACCGTTCGTCCTCTTATGAGGACAAGAACTATTTTATTTTTTCTAGACAACGCAACGCGCGATTTAAATTCTGTTTTATGCAACCAGAAGTCCATCACCACAAGTAAAGCATCTACTCGTCAATTCTAGCGAAAAAGAATTCGTTGACGCACATAAGCTGTTCAAAGAAAAACTGGCATGCGGTAAGCATTTTTCTTTAAGCTAATTTTATACCAGTAGCGTAGAGACATTCCGTAGGGTGTTTTCTATTCGGTTTTAATATATGTGTACAAGACATGTACAAGAGTGACTGCAAGCAAGGTTTTCATGTTTTGGTCAGATACTCCATGTTTTTCGAATGACCTCATTTTCTTTCCCCTTCAATCCCGTATGTAAAGCTTGGTAGCCCTTTTGTTGAATACAAGTGAGCCTCTTTTTTCAAATTAGAACCCAGCCTAAAACGTTGACACATATTAATTACAATGCGACTGCTAATTTTACGACATATGCAATCGTTGATGAATAATGTAGACACTCAAATCACGTCGGGCGTGTTTTTCAGGGATGTAGGGAGGAAATTAGACGGCAATTCAGAAAAGAAAAGAAAATGAACTCTGGCCTTATTGAGACATTGGGTGGCGCAAAGCAACCGTTGCGAGGATAATTTCTTGAGTGTTTTATCGGTTGGGCGGGCATCGTATTCTGTAACAGACGACCATATTCAAAAGGGAACTAGCACCATGCGATACATGTGGTAGGTTTTGAATATGACGACGTTTGCAAGAACAATGGGCACGGACAACGACATGTTGAAATGGTTGCGGCAAGCAATTCGCAAACAAGTTGGGCAAATGCACGTGTCTGTCGGCAACGGTCATGCCTTCGATAGAGGAGCAATACCAAAAAGAAAGATAATTACTGCTGTAAGCCGGGAGGGACCAGCCGAGGCGAGACAACAGACTGGCAGCACGACCGCCTCTGTCACACTGGGTGGAGGGCGTGCACAAGGCCAGGACCAACCCGCCACAAAGTAACAGACATTCAGGCATTCACTTAGGGTTAATTCGGTTCGAATCGAGCCCATTCACCAAGCAGACATCAGTCAGCCCCGGTCGCCGTACAAATAATCACTACCACTTTCCTCTCCTTCTCCGCTCCACACAACTTTCCTCTCCTTCTCCGCTCCACACAACTTTCCTCTCCTTCTCCGCTCCACACAACTTTCGCGCCCTCGCTCGACAGCACCTTCCTTGCCTTCTTCCAACCCGCCAGACTTTCGTCCCTCTGCCTCTCCACTCTCGCTGCCCACATTCCCGCGTTGCGCTTTCGCAATGGCGCAAAGCCAACCATCTTCTGCTCCCCCCCCCGTCCCTGTCTCCGACCCGCCCCTTGCGCCCACCGCCCCTGCCACCACCCCGACCGCTACCGCTACCGCTACCGCTACTGCCACCCCTGCGGCATTCGCCGCCGCAGCCCCTGCTGCAGCCCCTGCGGCATTCGCCGCCGCAGCCCCTGTTGCAGCCCCTGCGGCATTCGCCGCCGCAGCCCCTGTTGCAGCCCCTGTGGCATCCGCCGCCGCAGCCCCTGCCGCAGCCCCTGCCGCAACCCCTGCCACAGCTCCCGCCGCAGCTCCCGCCGCTCCACCCGTCGCTTCACCCGCCACGGCCACTGCCGAAATACCGTCTGGGAGTGACGCACCCGCGCCCCTTCCTCCCCCCCCATCCCGAGCGAGCGTTCCTGCCGACGACGACGCCCGTTCTGCTCTTCCCCCCGCTCCTGCAACTACAACTGACTCCGCCCTTGCGGCGCCTCCCACAGCGCCTCCCGCAGCGTCCATGACCCCGACTGACTCGCCCCCTACCCACGCGCCCGTCTCCGCTCCGGAGCAGTCGTCGCTCACGACATCAGCATCGGCGACGCCAGCCCCCCATCTCGCAAACCCCGCCCCCCAATCAAATCCCGCCGAGCCTCACCTGTCTCCGGTAGCTTCATCCCCACCTTTGCCAACTCCCGAGGCCAAGCCCCAAACCCCCGACACGCCGGTCTCAGACAGAAACCAATCCTCCGCCGTTCCAAATACTTCCACGACCGTCACTGCAACCTCCGCCCCGGCCTCTAGCCATCCCGCCCCGCCCGCACCCTCCTCGCAATCGGTCCAACCCGCCCCGTCGCAGAACTCCAGTCCCTCCGCAGCCACCAAACTTGAATCGGACACGACGACGACGACTACCAACACCACGGCCGAAAATTCATCCGCAAATAGGAAGCGCAGTTTAGATTCTGCTTCCTCGCTTGACGGTTCCCCCACCAAGATTTCCAAGCTTGAGCGCGACTGCGAGCCTGTCTTGCCCACCACTTCCGCTTCGCCCCATACCGCAGATCCTCGCACGTCTTCCCCGTCTCCGCATTCGGCCGCTCCTCCTTCCTCGGTTCGACCCGCCCCTGCACACGCAACAACACCGCCTGGTCCGCGCAATAGGCGCCGCCACACATCCCCGACGAAGCAGCCCACGGCCGACGTCCCGGCTCAGTACGAACGCCCTTTTCCGCGAGGCCTCCCGAAGACCGTCAAGCACCGCCCTGAAAATGCGCGTGTCTTTATCGGCAATCTTGCTTCTGAGTACACTGACGTGGCCCAGATCATTAAGATCTTCCACAAGTACGGAGACTTGATCGAGGAACCTGTCTTGCGTCGCTCGTTTGGCTTTGTACAGTATTCTTCAGCAGAGGCTGCTAGTAGGGCTGTGGCTGGAGAGCAAGGTCGGATTATTGGTGGGATTGGTATAGATCTCTCTATTGCTGATAATCGCGAAGTTAAGCGTGGTACCCATGTCGCTAATAACACCCCGTTTGGCCAGCCCGCTCCGGCAGGAAAGGCCCATGCTCGCGGTAGAGTACGAGAGAGGGACTTTGGGTCTGAGGATAGGAATGACAAGTCCCGCAAGAGGCGCCGCTCCCTCTCCCCTGCCTCGGCTGCGAAGAAGGGTGGCGTCCATCCACCTCAGTACCGACGCATGAGGCCAGACCCGCGCAACGGTGTTTACCTTCGCATTCTGTGCATGAGCCCAACGGCGAGGTCCTACGCCAGACAATGTGAGAATACTTTCCGTTCCATGACTGGACTCCCCGCTGATGTTTTGCATATAGTCGCCGCTGGATTGGGTGAGGCTTTGGGCCGCGCGATGAGGGACGTCATTCCCTATGTTATGGTAGTCGCTTCAAAGGATGTCGACGATGGCACTTGTACGATTCGCACCCTCGAGAAGACTGGCTATGAGAAGTCTGGGCGAGGAAATGGTGTCATTCCTCTTCGCGAGGCGGTGGAAGTCTGCCTGATTGAGCGCGGAGTCATTGCGCCACAAAATATCGCCCAGCAAATGAACGGGGCCCCTCGCGGTGGCATGGGACGTACGGGCCATGGAGGTCGGCAAGGACCGCATGGAATGGGTAGTCATGGCCGTCAGTGGAACAGTCACAGTGGTGCGCATCCTGGAAATGCCCCAGTCGAAACAGCTAAACCTGGCTGGATGACTGGACAACCCCGTGCTCCACACCCGTCAAACCCGCGTGCAGCTGCAGGGAGCGTGGCTCCTGGAATTCATCATCAGCCGCCACATGGTGGTGTTGGCAATGTTGTCATGCCTGGAGGAGCGTATGGATACAATGGTGTGGAAGGAAATCGAGGCCACTACGGGAGTCATGGTCCTGGACCTCAAGCCGCGCCAGTGCCTCCTCATCGCCCGTCTCAAGGCTACGGTCTTGTACCAGCACAATCTCAGGGCGGTTATGAACCTGGACCACCTGTAAATCAAGGTGGTAACATGGTTGCTCCTGGGCATCAGAATGGTGGCGATTACATGCGTCGCAGTGGTGCGCCAGTCAACCCCGCACTAGGAATGCACCCCCCTGGCGGCTACATGGATAGATACAGGGGGCAGGTGAACAACCAGAACGCTAACAGTTACAATGGTCGCGGTGACAATCGAGAGTCTGAATATGATCCTGCGGCGGTGATGCCCGCACAGCGTGGACCAAACCCAAATTATGAGAATGGATGGAACCGGGAAGTTGCGCCCGTGAATCGCGAAACATATGGAGGCGACAGGCCTCCGGCACATCAACCTGCTGTGGCTCGAGACCGGAACGGTGGTTTCCAGACAATCGGTGGTGGGACTCAGGTATACCCAGGTGGGTCTGGAGGTGCCGCGGCGAACAATTATGGATATGACAGATCACAGAATCAGGGCGCTCTCGGGGGTCCGTACGCAGCGATGAACAATACCAGCGGTTACGACGCGCGTCAGAATGCATATCCAGGCGCTCAGGCGGCCGTTGGATACGGCCAATACGCCGGACCGCAGGGTGAGAATGGGATGCCTCCTCAGAGTGCAGAGGGTGTGAACAGGTATGGCGGTGGTATGTATGCTGAAGGGCAGCAACAAGCGTATACAGTCCCAGGTATGTACAACAGCGGTACGCCCGGTCCCGGTGGCCGTGGCGGTGGCTGGAGCGGTACAAATAGTAGCCATGCCCACGCGATGAACATGCACAGTCCCCCCATGGGCGGGGGTAGCAACATGAACCAGAGCGGAATGCCTCATGGCGGAATGGGGGGCCAAATAGCGATGCAAAGCAACGCCGGAAACCAGATGACCGGTTCAGCAGGCGGACACGCGGGCATGAACGGGTACGGGGTCTCCCAGTCGCGCGCTAACATGAACGGCGGATACATCGGGCGAGATGCAGGCGGCATGGGTAGCAGCCCACCGCAGGCGAATGCGAACAGCGGCGTTGGGGCCTCTGCAGCAGCTTCCGTGTTGGGACAGAGCGCAAAGACGGTGGACATTAACAAACTGACGAGCTTGATTTCAGTGTTTCAGCAGAAGCAAGCTGCGATGCAGACGGGACCGCAAAATCATATGCACGGACAGGGAAGGCATGACGCAGAAAGACAGCCCATGCAGGGATACGCGACGCAGCAGTTTCAAGGGCAGCCGAACCACCAGCGTAGTGGCGGCCAGCAAGGATATTATCGTTAAGCTTGCTTGGTGGTTGGTAGGCGGGTTTAGGATTCTCTGTTGCTCACAGTAAACAGTTTTTGCTTTTGAATAGCTTCAGATTTTTGCGACGGAGTTGGGCGATGTTGTTGTTCGAAGAAACGATTTAGGATCGGCCGAACAGGGGCAGGTACCTTCGAAGGGGCATCTGGGCCTGGGACACAACGAGGCCTGCACCTTGTCGCCGACTACCTTTCTACTCGCACTGGGAACTCCCCAGTCCATGAGCGCTGGCGTCTCAGCACCATCCTTACCTCTCTCATACTCCAATATACGGCTTTATCCGTAAACCGACGTAGGTTACGGCTTCCCCCGGTTGCTCTACAGACCCTCGGTAGACCCTGATGCTCTAGTGTCGGGCCGCCCCAATACTCTCTCAATAAAGTCGACCATTCAAGGTACTGGGTAATGGACACAGACGAAACAACAGAGGTGACACAGAACGATGACCACATGCAAGACGTGTACACGTGTCGTCATTAGACAGTAACGATCCGAGTGCTCTGAGCTCGACCACATCAACCTGCCCCACCGGTCTCATGTACCCTTACATACCGAATGCCAAACCAAATGTTCGATATGAAGCTAACCACGTTCTTCAATCGAAACTCATCCACTCCTCAGCCTTGCACCAACATGACGGCCTCCGCCTTCGCATCGGTCCCGGCTCTAGCCCGTCCCCCTCATCAATTGCACCGTCCCTGCCTCGCCCGGCCTCACCGCCATGTCCCACTTCCCTCGCGCCTCAAATGCTGCGCCAATCTGCCTTCCCCCGTCCCCTCCAAACCTTTCTCCGACACCCCTGACGAGCCCAGCCATCCAGACCTCATACCCGCGGCCGTTTCACGCGCTCGCCTTCTCCGCCGCATCGCCATGTCCTGTGTCGCCGCTTCCTGCCTCGCCCATGTGCTTCCCGTGGATGCGAGCGTCGCCGCCCTGGTCCGATCCGGAGACCCCACCAGCTTTGCATCAGGGCTGACAGCCGCTTTCCTGCTCGTACTGGCGAGTGAAATTGGCGATAAGACCTTTTTCATCTCTGCCTTGCTGAGTATGAAGTATTCCCGCGTCCTCGTGCTGGTCGGTACCATGATTGCCCTGGGCGGCATGACCATCATTTCCGTCGGCATTGGGCAGGTCTTCCATGCCCTGCCGGCGAGCCTCAATTCAGCCATCCCGTTCGACGACTACGCCGCTGTCGCCCTGCTGCTGTGGTTCGGTTTTCAGAACATCCGCGACGGGCTCACCATGGCTGACGATGAGGACGACGAGTTGCAGGACGCCAAGGATGTTGTCGCGGGTAAGGGCGTGGAGAAGAAGGGAGGCATGCGCGTCGTCGCAGAGACGAGTAGCCTGATTTTTTTGGCCGAATGGGGCGACAAGTCCATGCTGGCTACCGTCGCTCTGGCCGCCGCGAAGAGCCCCTTGGGCGTCATTGTGGGGGGTATTAGCGGCCATCTCGTCGCCTCAATTATTGCCGTTGTGGGCGGGTCATTTTTGGGCAAATTCGTTAGTGAGAAGACGGCTAGGTTGATCGCGGGCGTGCTCTTCATCGTATTTGCCATCTTGACCACTTTCAGTATTTATTGAGACGGGGAGAGGTAGACGGAAACTGACTTTGAACTTCGCAGGGAAGCTCGTATTTGATGTGTACATAAAATTTCATTACAGCGATGCTACGGAGGACGAGTAGGGACACGCGGGGGATGTCGGAGTAAACGGGCAATGGCATCGCGTTTTTCCAGAGGGCTTCGCTAGTTGTCTTTGCGCATTCGCAGCCGCTTGTCTGCAACCGCTGTTTGCACCGCCAAGCTCTTCAGGTTTTCATTTGGTAGAGCCAGAAAGGTGCTCGCTGACAAAGTGTTAAAACTACTAACCTCTGCGATAGCTCTTTGCGTGACCTCGATGGAGGCGAACAAACGCCATTCCGCGTCAATTTTGCGATTGGGTGACGCTCAACCCTGTTGCACTACAACTCAACCTTTCCCTGTCGGCTAGCCGCATGCGCGTCTGCGAGGCCCTGAAAAAGTCTCACGTAGGCCTTCTCTCCCTTCCGAAAGCTGTCGATGCGTCCAAACTCGTCCGGGGCATGTACGTTTTCGTCAGAGTGTCCGAACGCAAGCATAGTCGTTTCCACAGAGAGGATTTCGCGTAAAAGCGTGAACACGGGGATGGAGCCACCCATTCCCATTCCCACAGGTTCGCGACCGAACAAATTCCGCAGAACTGCGGCGACGACTGTGTTGCCGGGCGTGTCTTTGGACGTTTTGAAAGGGCTCCCGCTGAAGGGGTTGCGCGTGATTTCTAGGACTGCCCCCGGGATTTTGGCGGCTGCCAAGGTTAGATGGGATTCGATAAGCTTGCGGGAGGTGTCCGCGCTCTGGCTACTCACCTGCACCAAGTGAGTAGAAAGAAATTTGTTGCACACGAAAAAAGCAAAGTCAGACACGGTTGGAAGCATTCAGTTGCTGAAACCGGAAGCACCTTGGCCTGGAACAGAGGTTTTTGTACGTACTGTGCGGCACACAAGTTTTGCATGCGCTTCGCGAGGTAGCACTGTCTTGATACCCTCCCCAGAAAAACCGCCCCACATGCCGACAACTTCGATAGTCGGACGTGCCCATGTTCTGCTCGACCTCGTACAGACCAAAACAACAAATGGGAAACAGGAGCGAGAACGTCAGAATCTCACAAGAGAGCTTCGACCACTGGGGCTGCGTGAGATGGACACGCCTCCCGTTGACCACCGGCGGGCGCCAACCGCGCGAAAGGGAAAAGGAGCCTATCGTACCTCTCATAAAAATTAAACCCTATTTCGCCCACAGAAACATTGACCCCTTCGTGTCTTAGCCGTTCGCTCTCCGGCACCGGGTACTTTGCAATGTCGGCGCGCTCTTCCTCAGTAAGGTCGTCAACGTCATCGTAATACCCGTGCACGTTAATCCTCCCAGTCTCCATGTCATGCAGCGACGCCAGTAGGTGCGCCATCGCGTGGAGCGGATTCTGCACGCCTCCCCCAAAAGATCCGCTATGCATGTCGCGGTCCGCCGTCCGAAGCGTGAGCTCCATAGCGAACGCCCCACGCAACATCAGACATAGGCTGGGAGTCGTGGGAGACACCATGCCTCCGTCAGCGCTGAAGGCGTAATCGGCGGCAAATTTGGCGGCGTGATGCTCCAGAAGCTGCCGCATATGCGGAGACCCAATCTCCTCCTCGCCCTCAAGAAGAAGCTTAACGTTGACAGGGAGCTTTTTGAAAGTCTTCAAATACGCCTTAATGGCGACAACCGGAACGTACATATTCCCTTTGTCATCGCTGGCGCCCCTCCCATAGAGCTTCCCCTCCCGAACGTGAGGTTCGAAAGGCGGCGTAGTCCACAAATCCACCGGGTCGGCTGGTTGGACGTCGAAATGTCCGTAAATTAGAACAGTGGGTGCATCGGGGTCGTCGGCGCGTAACCAATCTGCATACACTGATGGATGGCCTTTTGTTTCGAGAATCTCAACATTCTCTAACCCAGCGTCCTGGAGATCTGCCTTGAGCCACTTTGCACACTCGCGTACGTCGTGAGCGTGGTCGTGGTCACTAGAAACTGATGGGATGGAAACAAAATCGATGAGGTTCTGAAGGTTTGCATCTCCATGCTCCGCGAGCCATTCTTCAACCGGGTTAAGGTCGATTGCCTCCGCATAGCAGCGTGAGAAATGAAACTGGATCGTCAGCAACAAGATCGCCGAGATACGTAATACTGGAACCAGTTGTATTCTTCGACGCTTCTGGCAGTGATTCATTATGGAAGAGGCAGTCACGACCTACAATTCCCTTTTGAGTTCGGCAGAGGGGATGAGGTGGTGGCATGTTTAGAGGAGAACTCATAGAGAAAGTACCACGCACGTTTTGTCATATAATGTCATGCTGGCCACCGTTTATCTTTTCGTCGCTCACGTGTAACAATTTCGGAGAGCACTGTACTGACCTTCCCTCAAGAGATCAGGGGACCAAATCCGTAAGCTTGTTTTATAGATCACGCTTACCGAAACCTCATCGAATTACTCGACTGGCAGGGCCCGTCGTCCTCGAAGCAAACTGCATCGTATTCTCCATGAGCGTCTAACTAGGCTTGAAATGACCGTCAGAAATTGAGGTGGTGCTGAACTCCCGACGCCCAATTTTAAAGGATCCTGTTCGACGTACTGGGGCACCGTCAAGCACAACAGACGCGATAGAACTGATGAATTTAGCGTTGCCTTCATGCATCTCATGTGTCGAAGATGTCCATGTGCTCTCAGTGCCCAAGATTCATACTGCTTGTTCTTCTCTCGTGGTAGAATAATCAACCGAGTTCCATGTGGACATGCGCTCGGCCTACCCTACAGTAGCTCTCGCAAAGAAATACAACCATGAGGCAAACGGTTCCTTCTACTAACATGAAACGCTATCTCTCCCGCAGAAACTTCATTCTCCATCAGAAAAGCACGTTTATCGGTTACAATCGCTAGGTGACAACTATTCAAATTGACAACGAGTTTGCAACATAATTTTGTAACAACACTGGACAGCTGTTTCCCCATAGAGTAGACTTGGACATACCAAAGCATCTCGGTGTGTCTCCCACTACAGCTCATCCTTCCCATTGTTGTCTTCTGGAGCCTCTATCTTCCCAGTCAACAGGGACAGCTCATGCAGTAGTTGGACATATGCCCTTTCCCCACGCCGAAAGCTTTCCAGTCTCGCAAATTCATTCGGCGAATGAGCCAAATTGTCGGGTTCTGCAAATGCAAACAACGTTGTCTCAAGCCCGAGAATCTGGTGAATCATACTCACAGCCCCAATTGTTCCGCCGCCACGAATGAAAACAGGTTTGCGATTGTAAAGCTCCGTCAGAACTCTCGCAGCTGCTTGCATCCCTGTGCCATTCTTTCTCAAACTGACAGGGGCTCCGTCTTCATTTGGCTCCGGTTTTATCTCTAAAGTCACCCCCGGGATCCTTGCAGCTTCTCTCTGGAAATGCTCCAGCAGTAGCCGATTTGTCCGAATCGGATCCTGCCTGGGTACCTGTCAGTCGAAGGCACGCACGGTTTTTCAAGGCATTCTTGTTCTTAGTTGTCGACTTGAAAAAAGTCCTTTTGTCTGTAGTATCAACAGGATCTGCTCTAGACTTACCGTTCGACAAGCGATCTTTGCGTGTGCTTGGCTCGGTATTATAGTCTTAATGCCTTGTTCTATATACCCGCCCCACATGCCGACTATTTCGATAGTCGGGCGAACGGATATCCTGTGCCGGTGCAAGTCCATTGGCCAAAAAGAGAGAAGCTGTTAGGAAGCGCAATCGCTTGAGGTCCACATTCGCCCTCGTCGCGGAAGGGACATCATAAATCAGTAGCCGTTGAGCAGCAACTATCCTACCTTTCCCAAAACGTATACCCCTCTTCGCCAACAGATATGTTAACGCCATTTTGGCTCATCATATCCTCCGAAGAAATGGGAAACGCTTCCATATCCTTGCGTTCACCCACATCAGCCTCATCGACTTCATCATAAAACCCGGGGACAAGAATCCTTCCACTCTCAATATCCCGAAGTGAAGAAAGCAGACGCGAAAGAGCGTGAATCGGATTTTGCACGCCACCTCCAAGGAACCCGCTATGCATATCTCTATCGGCCACACGCACCGCAATCTCGTAGCAAAGCGAACCCCTCAAACTGAGAACCAAACTCGGAATGCTTCGAGAGACCATACCGCCATCCACGCTGTACGCGTAGTCCGCCCGAAAACGCTCCCTCTGTTCAACTAGGACATGCCTCAAATTGGGCGAGCCAATCTCCTCCTCCCCCTCGAGCAGCAACTTAACGTTAACTGGGAGTCCTCCACCCACCTTTAAAAACGCTTTTATCGCCATCAAAGGCACATACATATTCCCCTTGTCGTCGCTGGCTCCCCGGGCGTATACCTTCCCGTCGCGCACATCTGGCTGGAACGGCGGGGTGGTCCACAAGTCTAGCGGGTCTTCTGGTTGGACATCATAATGGCCGTAGATGAGCACTGTTGGGGCGTCTAGAGGGGCATGAAGCCAGTCTGCGTAGACAACGGGATGTCCGCCAGTTTCTAGCAAGTCCACATGGTGCATTCCTGCGGCAGTAAGATCGTCCGCTAGCCATTCAGCGCAACGGCGTACCTGAGGGGCGCGGTAAGGATCTGCGGAGATAGAGGGGATGGAAAGAAAGGTGATAAGTTGGTCGAGATTAGTGCCAGCGTTGGTCGACAGCCATTGATGGACTGCAGTTAGATTGTGTGGGTTTGCAGCGACGTTTGAGAGAAGGCAGAGGGCTATGACAAGAGGGGCACTGATCATATTAGAGGAGGGCAGGGGTGGAGAGGATATGTGTGAATCAAAGCGCGAACGGCATTTTCTCAGAAGAAGCTTCGCGAGAAACAGAGGGGTGTACTTGACTTAATGCCTGGGGAATTGTGCAGAGTTGGTCCATTGATATCGTGATCGGGTCGCTCACTAGGATTGGGTCCATCTTTGTCTACAAACAAGTGCCAAATATCTCGAAGTAAACGCGCAGGCACACTGCCGCTCGATGCGCGCATAAGACGCATGAAACATGCGATCATATCAAGCACGATGCGCATGTGTGTTTTCATTCCAGAGAGGGCTGGGCATATGCAATTCGGCACCATCAGGTCGCACGTGTCACACGATCTTGTGAGGAGGTTGCGAATTGCATCCTTCTGCACTACCCTACCCAAGGGTAGCAGAAACAACTTTGGAAACTGTTTTTTCTGGCAACGGTTGTGGAAACGCTTGAACAAAGATTCCTGCTCCATACCTTCTCCATGGACGAAACAAGAAAAATCGCAAAAGGCATTAATATTGAGAAGTACTGGTTGTTCAAATACGGAAGACGTTCATGTGCTTAGCCCATTAAACCAGCAACGTGGTTTATCTTCACACCGCACACTTAATCAACACTGCCGCCAAAAAAAAACAATTGTCGATTGTGAGAAACGATCTTAACTATACGTGTAGGCTAGCTTGAGAGGAGATACAATAACACGTTGACAGCACCTAGGGTTCTATGCCCTTGTTGCTGTATTTCAAGAGCGCAGTGCTACATCTTGCGGCAGAGTCACGTTTTATTGCGAGACTCGCAATGTGTTAAGTTTCGGAATATGCGTCAGAACGGGAAGGTGTGGTTGCATAAAAGTTGCAGTGTTAGAGGTGGTGTCCCGAAGTAGGAGCTCCCTTCAAGGAGCGTCTCAGAGACGTAATTCGGTTCATAAAAAATTCTCAAAAATATGACTAAATATGGTCTGATTTATCTTTAAACGCCCCCTCGATTCTCGCGCTCAATCTCGAAACAGGAAATACAGTAAGCAATTTGTGAACACAAAATCCGCATTGGGAATCTCGATACGCACGCATTCCCTTTTTTTATTTGCTCGAGACACATGATGATAGAGGCGCAAGGCAATTGAGAAACTATCGTTCCACACCAGACGCGTCGCCAATCTACACTTTCGATAACGACCCGAGTTCTATCTCGGCAAGTATACTTGTGCTTCTTCAATCGCTTTGACTCGCTCCTCCGCCTCCGCTTCTATCCTCTTCTTCTTCCTTGATAAACTCGAGAGCGAAAAAACAAAAAGCTGACCAGTTAGCTAGCTACCTTTTGACTCCATCCAAGGTACGTAGTGAACGACTGCGTGACCAACATACCTGTACAAAACATAAAGAGTCGCAGTTAGCAGTGCTGCGAATGCTAGGAACACGAGGACGAGAATTACGCCGAGACCGGCCCTCGTCATGCCAATAGCTACAAAAAAAGAATTAATAGATAAACAGTAAGCACGCTGTCTCAACTATATCTGCATCAAAACCGCTGTGACGAAATTACATGTACCAGGATCTAGGACTTACTCTGGCAAGAGCATTCAAAGAAATCCGTCGTGACGACGGTTTGCGACTTGGAACCATTGCAGCATCGTTCGCTGAGCCAAAAGTCTCCGCAGGAAAAATCGACCTGTGACGGCATGCCAGCATTAAACGGAACACAGGTAGATGCGCAGGCCTCTTCCGAGAGCTGTTGGCACAGTTGCGCAAAGGCGCGCGACGGCGAAAGGTCGTGAACGAGGAGCAAAAATTGGAGCTGCGAAAAAAAATAGTTTGTACGCGGGGTCATCGTGAAGGTAAGGTTCGCATCAAAAATGTGCTTTGCTGGCTAAAGGCCGGCGGAGGCGGCGAGACTCAAGAGGGTTTATGCGTCAACGTTCCTAGTGGGGTGACGGCGGCAGTGGATAGATAGGCGCCGTCAAATGTACTGACACAGAAAGGCGAACGTTTGTTGTACGTATTTTTACTCTCTTCTCTGCTTTTGTCACGGTGGCTACTCGTCGCTCTAGCAGGAGGGCGGGTGAGATCGGCCGGGTGAGATTCGCTTGTCAGTCGGCAGGCGAAGAGGAGGGAGCCGAGAGTTGCGTGCTAAAGAAAAAGAAAACAGAAGGGGTACAATTTGGCGGGAGCAAGTAATTGTGGGAGTGTAATTACGAAGGCGGTGGCGCAGCAACAACGGAATCGTCGCCGCGGACGTCAAAATCCGAGGGCCAACTAAACGCACCTGACGTTACCGACGCTATTTCTCATCGACACGCGTCACCAAAGCCTCCCCGGCGCCTCGCGTTTTTCTTAAGTGCTCCTTCCCTGCTGCCGTTTCCCCGCCGCCCCCCTTGCCAACCCCTCCGCGACCCCCGACCCCGTCTCATTTCCCCCCTCCCGCCTCCTATCCGCTCCGCCCCTTTTTCCGCGTCTCATTCTGCTTCCAACCCCCCGCGCACTATGGGCTCCGCCCTCAGCGCGTGCACGGGGCGCCCGGGAGGGAAGGACGGCGACCTTCCGTGCGTCCTGCTCGTCGGCTTGGACGGCTCCGGCACCACCACCATTCTCTACCAAGTTAAGCACGGCAAGAAGCTCGAAACCATCCCTACCCTCGGCATGAACAAGGAGATCGTTAAAGTCGACGGCATGGACTTTGAGTTGTACGACGTCGGCGGACTCGAAAAAGTCCGCGCCCTTTGGCGCACCTATTCCAAGGAAGCCAACGGCGTAGCGTACGTCGTCGATAGCTCAGATCCCAACCGACTACCCCAGGCGGCCGAGGAGCTCAAGAAGCTCTTCTTTGGCGACAAAAAGAAGAAAAGCCTCATCGTTCCCGATATCCCGCTCCTCGTCCTCGCCAACAAACAGGACGTCGCCGACGCGGTCTCCATCGACACGGTCGCCAAAGATCTTGAGCTCCACGACCTCCCCGTCAGGAACTACAAGGTGCTCCCCACCGTCGCCACGGATGGCACAAACCTGCGCGAAGGCCTGAAGTGGATGGTCGATCAGCTCAAGCTCTACGGCTACTAGTTGATTGTTCACTTGAGTCTCTCTTCTCGGATCAGTCCCCACCCCGCCCCATTTCCCCACGCCCGACTACAACCTCTCCCGCCCCCGCCGAAAGTCCCAACCTGCACATAGTCCCTCTTTCCCATTTCAAGACAATCGTTTCTCCCCTCGTATCCTCCGCTTCTTTCCCTCACTTCCTCGCCCTTTCACCGCGCCCCTCTCCCATTATATCTCGTCACGCTTCCTCCGCGCCGTTTTTTTTTTTGTAGCTCGCCTCCGTCGCGGTTCACGACCATCACGACCAGCACCTTCTGCGCCCCGGCTCTGCCTCACGGACGTCTACTCTGTTGCTCACTTGGTCTAATGCCAAGTTCTGGGCAGTACCTCCTGCGCATCCCAATCGCCCCTCCGACATTTCCGCACCATGTACATCCTATTTCGTCCGCTCTTTAAAGTAAACGAACGATTCGGCATCTCCTAGCCCCAGCGTACCGCCTCTGCCGCCCGTTCGCGCTCCACTGAAGCGTGCTCCACTGAAGCGTGCTCCACTGAAGCGTGTTTTAGCACTGCCGATACCCTGAACTATTTTATGAATGCGAATGCGTCGAGCCGGCGAGGGGCAGCGACATTATTAATTTGCTCATAGCAAAGCAAGAGCGAAGGAGTAACCCAATTCACGTGCACTCCACTACAGTATTGCATGTCCATATCGCTCAAGCCGGGGCTGCTGCCACATTTCAATCATAGCATACCGCACTGAGGCCCCCGCTCCCGTGGCAATCCACTGTAGGCGGGTTTGTGCCAGGACAGTCATTCTAGCTGTCGGAGGCCTGGCCGGATCTGCAGTCAACTTACAACTCTCGAAAAAGGTATGAAACGAGTGCTGAATCTCGTCGCATTCGGAGGCGTGTGGGAAGGCGTTTTTTATGAAATGCCTAAAACGGAGAAACCCCCTCGGCAGCTCAGAGAAGCTGCAGAGAAGCTGCAGAGAAGCTGCAGAGAAGCCCCCTCGGCGGCTCATGCCCGGGTCTCAGAATTCCACAAACATAGGCTGTACCCAAGGGTAGGCCTTGCCGAAAATGATGGAACTACAGGGGTCCGGTCCGATGGCCCTCTTTACTCTGCTCGCTGTGCGTCGTCGTCTTATGTGCTATTCTCTACTGTCCTGGACAGGTTGTCTTGTGCGGTCTGTCAGAAAATACGTATAATTCAGTACACTGTCAGGCTACGAGACCATGATAATCAACGTGCAGTGCCACAGCAGGCTGGCGACTCGGAGACCTTGCCCCTCCAAGTAACCATGCCGCCGTACAAGTACCAGTGCCGGGCTTTGGCGAAAATGAACTTGGAACATGGCTCTTCAAAAGGCGGGGAAATGGAAGCATCCTTGCGACAGACTTACGTATGAGCAAAAAGCACAACAGTGGCACACAGTATATACGCTAGTACGTGGGACAAATAGATCCACATATCTCTTCAGTTGCAATGACGTTTAGAGGGTTTGTCATATATACCGTACAGTCGGAGCTCTTCCTGCACTCACTCCGTTCATTGTCTTATTGCCCATGAACATCAAGTGCTTCCATTGTACAGTGTCTCCTCAAACCTCGTCGCCAGACGATGCCCTTCTTCCAACTCCTTTTTCAGAAATGAGTGAACCATTCGTGTATAGAGGAGTCATTCGACAAACAGGGACTGCTCCATTAATGAAAGGTCCGAGTCTTTTAAGAGGAAGTGGGCAGATTTTATGAGGTTCCGCAACAAAGGAAGAGCTCTTCAATGAGAACAAACTGGACAGGGCAACCATGCTTCACAGTTAAAACTTCGGCGTATGCCTCATCTGAAGAGCCAAATGTTTTTTCACCAAGTCTCCCGGTAAATGGTGCAGCGGATGTGTCAGTGGGGCCCTTTCCGGAGCATATGGCACCCGCCGTTGCTGTAATGCACTGCACATGTCGGACAAACCCCCTCATCTCGCGACAACCGCGGCCCCTTTTAGATTCTCAATGCACAGCCTACCGAAGTTAATGTGGCCAGAAGTGCAAACTGTTCGACTGCTGTACTTGCGCTTTTTATACACTGTGTGATCGTCAATGACAGAGGCATTGTCACGTGACCGTAAGAAAAAACTTGTCCTCTACAGCTAGGTTGAAACTCAACCAGGGTAATCAAGATGGCTCTTGCACATCCTCATGCCATTTCTTGGCACGTGGGCACAGGTGTTTGGGCCCTTGTAAAGATCATGGCAGAACATGTGACGGCGCATGCGTGTCAGTGCATATCGTACCTTCGCAAACAACAGTACCCCACGAGCAAATACGCCCTCTTTCAAACTGTTCAAATGCTCCCACTCGAGACGCGTCGAAAACCTGTTCTCACTGTCTGTTTTGCTCTGATGCATGCTGCTACGTGCAAGGTTGCACAAAACATTTACTACTGCGACACGGACTCTCCAGTACTAACTGGTACGGCATCGCTGCATGGTGTATCGCCGCCATTTGCCTTTTCCTTATTCACCTTCATGGCATCCATTTTAAATTGCATATCGTCCATTTTGGATTTCAGTTCTTTCAGCTCGGATTGCAGCTTCTCAAATTGCGTGCTCATGGCTTTGCTTGCACCTTCACGGCCATTGGCTGCACGCTTGGCGCGCCTCCGGAATGAACGAATCTTCGATTTGTCCTGATTGCTGCTGAGCTTTTCGAGGTCCTCTAGCGCCTTCGATGGACTCCCTGCGTCTGCTAGGATCGCCAGCACACTCCCAGCTGCATCGCGCATCGGCTTCGCCGCATCACTGTTCCGACAGATCTTCTCCACAAATTCAAACGCCTTCATCCTCGCTGCAGGTCCTTCCCAAGTCACAGCTTGTCCGATAGCACGAATTACCGTACCCCTCACGCGCGGCGCCAACTTGAAGTTCTGCGGGTCTACATTGCGCATGAGCACTTCTGTAGCTTTCCAGTCTCTTAATTGTCCAAGCGCAATGGCGGCCGATTGAGGAATTTCAAAACCCTTGCCATGTTTCACTGGGTCTTCAAGGAAGGAAGTGAATAGGTCCAAGTACTCAAGCTTTCTTGTTTTCCCCAATCCTCGAAGTGCCGTTCCTATAGCCCCGTATGGTCGCATCATTTCATGCCCCTCTTTCACAAACTTCAGCAGGGCCGTTTCCGCGGACGTGTGCCTATATTCTCCAACTGCAGTCAATATTGCTGGAACAACGCGCGCGTCCGGCTCTGAAAATGCAGCGTCGATCAGAGCTGGTAGTGTACTCAAATGAGCTGCCTTCCCGAGATTCTCTGCAATTATGCAACGAAGTCCCCAATGCTTCTCATCTTTTAGAGCTTCTGCAAGAGCGCTACGTGCACGCTTCGAACCAGATTCGTGTAGTAACTTCACTGCTTGATGACGCCCCGCGAACGTTGGAGCGTTAGTCAAGGAACGCAGGGACATATCCTCACCTAAACCGGAGAACTTTGTCAGGTTGTGAAGTACCTTTTTCTGTGGATCAATGACGACTTGCAGAGGTTTGTTGTGCAACCTCATGATAAACTGGCCTGTCGCCGCCCCAGACTGTAGTGCAATAGTGTGGGATTCCCAACCTCCAGAATTTACCTCCACAGCAAATTCCACCGAAATATCAAAGAGACCTACGCCTTTCTTGTCATCCATTTGTGTTTGTTTCAAAGAGACACTTGCGTGTCCACCCTTTGACGAATCGTAGGAATATGAAGCCTCGAGTACTGGGTGGCCTTTGCTATAAAACCACTGCTCAAAATACGAGCAAAGCTGCTCCCCAGTGAATTTTTCAAGGTCTTTCCGAAAGTCATCAGTTTCTACCGTTTGCCAACTCCTGTTGTGTAGGTAAAAGGAGACGGCATTCCAGAAAATTTCGTCACCAAGTTTCACCCGCAACATATGAAGCCTCCAAGCGCCATTCGTGTAAAGATGTCTATCGAAAACGTCCCATGAGCTTTCGTACTTTCGATTCACAATCGGTCGGACGTATTCCAAAGTTTCTGCAAACGACACTTCACTATATCGCGCAAGGGTGTATTGGAAGTCATCATTACCATTCTTATAATGATACCATTCTGCGGAAATGAGAGTGGCAAACGATTCCTTCAAAAAACTGTGACAAAAATCTGCGCAGACCACCAAATCTCCGAACCAACTAGAGAAAGCCATCAAAACAAGTACCGCTGTTAGTGACACTCAACAGAAGCATGGACAACTAAAAGCTACCAGAGAAATCGCGAGCCTTACCTGTGAGCCAGTTCATGCACAATAGTAGAGGAAACTCTATGAGCACGTTCGTTTGTGCTTCTTTCATCGAGCATATACCACTCATCATAAGAAACTAATGAACTATTCTCCATGGCCCCCCCTACCTCGCCGCAAGCCCACTGGTAGTACTTTGGCCACGGCAGCTTGCAATGCACCTTGCCCTCCATAAATTCGATCATTTCCTTCGTCTGCCCGAATGTCAGCGCAAGGTCTCCCACTGTGTACGCATGTCGACCTCCCGAGGGCGCGAAATAGGCAATCTTCTTGCCGCTGTGTTTCCCGCCATCGGCTCTAATGAACTTGCCAATCGCCACACAGAGCAAGTAGCTCGGCGTAATCTGCTTCATTTCCCAGGTTGTGACCTTCACAGAGTCGCTGGTCTCCTCTGAAACGAGCTCGCCATTCGCGAGCGCAGTAAGGTCTTCCGCGGCGGGCGTTCGCAGCGTAAATGAGATGGTGGTGCGCACGACGGGATGGTCGACGACCGGAAGCCAATACCGTGCCCTCTCCGTCTCATGATCACTCACAACGAAATGACCATCGCCCTTCCGTGAGAACAAAAGCCCATCAATTGGATCCGTCACACAATAGTCTACATGAATTTCTATTACCTGCCCCTTCGAAAACGGCAAGGTGAAGACGATATCAATGACGTGTCCGTTATACGTATGCGTAACGTGATCGTCATTCGGTGAAGAAACCTTCACTTGAGTAAAGTCCTCGGCGTTCAAAGAAAGCGTTCTCGCCCCGGGCCACTGCGCGGTAACAGTATGCGTAGCGCGTCCCTTGACGGTGCGCGAGCGAATGTCGAATGAGAGATCGAGGGCGAGATGCGTCGGGCGTAGAGGAAGTCTCGGCTGGTAGTGAGGCGTCGCGTGGGAATCGGTAAAGGGATCTTGCATGGAGATCAGCTGGCACTCATTTTCGAGTTGGTCTTCTTGGAAGACATCAATGGCGGTGCAAGTGCAAGGCATTGTGGGACTGCACTGCGGCGAGAAAATGCAGGTGAGGCGGGGGATACTCAGCAGATGAGATGTTTTGCCAGGGACGTTAAAGGTGAGATGTGAAAGACGTCGGTGCTGGAGGGTGCGCACTGAATCTGCAGAGAGCGGGAATACACGTTCCTGTTTTTCCCTGTGTTACCCTTGGTAGTGGCAAGACCGATGCGCGGCAAATGACTGCAGCTCTCTTTTGGAAACGGATGACGGTTACCCAAGTCTGACCGAAATACGGATTACAGTTTAGGGCGAGCTCGAATGACAGGAAGGATGTGACCAAATTTTGGGCACAACTGTCTGGGCCCGCTTCCAATTTCTCATTTTACAGTACAGAGTGTATTGCCGAACGAAAACTCAGCGAATATCTCCAAGGGCTGCACTAAATCCCATCCTATGGTACGTATGTATATCTTCCCATATGATATCACTGAATCATCACCATTAGTAGCTAAGCCGGTGGTGCCTACGTTTCTATACTGAGGTTTGATGGACAAACACTAGCGGCGCAATGCTGTTTACTGCTTCGGTCATGAATCTTGCATGGATACATACAAGAACCTTCACGCTTTGAAGATCCCGAAAGCAACGTAAAAGAAGGGTAATGTTGTTGTAGTAGTAGCTCGAGTACCTTATAAGACACGCAGTGTGCCCCCTCTTTATCCTACATCAAGATATCTAACATTCCCAATACGTACAAAAATACTACTCGCAATGCGTCCCGGTTCGTAAACGAACTATGCGCAGACCTCCAAAGCTGCGACATCCCTTTACTGATCTACCAGGAGGTTTCAGGCTCAATCGCGCCCGCTCCTCTGAAGAGGCGTGAATTTCGTGTAAGTATTTAGACCTGGCCGCGACGTTCAAACACTCTCACCGCTCCAACCTAAAACGTTTTCCTAAAATTCAAACCCCGGCACTTGGTAATGTCCGTCTAGAGAGCTTGTCATTTCCATCGCATAGCACCGCAACTATACGACCGGACCAGCGTTTCGAAATTTTGAGACACTGCGTTGTTGACCAGAGGGAAATTTCATCATCCTTCTAATAGGTACCTCTGTTAAAAGAGTTTTTATACAGTGAAGCAATACTCAAGCCATTTGGCCGAAATTATTGCACCCACGCTGGATTCTATGCGACGCATCCACTCACCCACTTTTGTGATGAAACCACCATCGCTATGCATGTCGCTCTGCTTTTTCATCCACGAAACAGCAACTCTTCACAACCTTACACAGACTCCTGGCCTTAAAGGGGAAAGCGGTATTTGCGATATGTTCTTGGGAGGACCTCATCGCCATTTCGCGCAGAAAAACGAGTGTGCTTCTTCAGGTCCTGCAGGAGACGCCATTACTCGATACAAGACAATTCGCAAGTAATAAGTCATTCTCACACGCCGGATTGAATCGACTGATCAAGTCAGCAATGGACAATGAAGAAGAACCTGAGTCTCATGAGTTCAGGACCACAAGCACCGAATTGGATATGGAAACGTTCCGCACTCTGTTTCAATTCTATAGTAGCAAATTCACACCATTCCAAAATAATGGGAGCGCGTCATTCTGCTGGCATTTGATAGAACGAGCCAAAGCGAACAGTGTCTTCCCTCAAGCGCTGAATTATCTTACGCAGGTCATATCTGCGCGCTTCACACCCCATCGTCTTCCCGTGCTCATCCATGAACTCCTCAGTCGCAACGATGGTATCCATTCGAGTATTCTCAATTTGGAGGACGACGTCAAGGGAGCATATGAGGCTCGATACGATCCAAATATGTCAATTCTCGGAAAATGGTACAAGGGTCGAATTGAACTCGCCCAACTAGGCGAGAGGTTTAATCTGGAAAGGGTAGAGACTGACAACCTTAACGAGAAAAGAAAAAAAAGGATGAGAGAATGGAAAGCTTCATTGCAAGAAGCTGGAGAAGATGAAGAACCTCAAACTCTGCATCGTCCCAGAAGTTCGATAATTACAGAGAGAAAGACTCCGTGGAAAGATTCTCAGTTATTGCTTGAGGTGAAAGTCGCTGCATTTGCGGATATTTTTTTAACGACTAAGGCATTATTCTTCTCGGAGGATGACTGCGCACATTATACGCATGCAGAGCTGGTTGTTGAGAAAGTCATTGAATCAGTGGTTGGGATCAACAGCGAATGCCCTAATATCCGAGCCGAGAAACGGGTGCGGAAACGACTTGACGAGTACGTTTTCTGGTTGATGGAATCTAGGAAGCAATTTTCTCCCTGGGAGCTCTCCTTTATTTTGCCCAGAGACAATGCTGCTTCGACGTATCGAAAAACATTTATGGAAACCCGTCAGCAATGCACAGAAGAAGACGCTCGACAGTTTTTTCCATCTGCCAAGATTGGGATAAGGAGACCAGTTGATATGCAGGCTACGTTTTCATGGAAAGAGCACGGACCAGTAAGATGTATGCCGATTCTTGCATACGAATCCTCGCTTATACTACTAGTTGTCTTCCGCTGTACCCAGGAACAAGTGTACAAGAAAAACCTCATGGCGCACAACACGAGCACCATTCACCCACAACTCGAACTACCCATTCTGGATGTTGTGGAGATTCCAGATATCTTAAAGGGAATAGAAGAGTATCGTGATCCCAGCACAGTTGCGATAGGACGCCGAAACGCTCAACCAGGACGAAAGAAGACGAAGGGGATATCGGAACTCGAGCCTGGCCCGACACGAGGCAATGACTACGACGGTGCGGGTGAGGGTGCCGGCGATACAGAAGAAATGTTGCCAACGGGGGAGGAACCTATAGATCAGGACGGCGAGCAAGGAACAGGGACTCAGTTCGTGGACGACGATGATTTGCTCAATGATTTTAACATATTCATGCAAGAGAATGACATTCAGGTAAGGGGGACTGAAGATGGTAGGAGAAAAAAGGGCCATGGATATTTCGGCCGTCCAGATGATCTCACGTATGTCCCTGAGCGACTGACTCAAGGAAGCGGAGAAGAAGAGAACAACGAGCAGAATAAAAATCCAGGAGCTGTGACCCCCCACAGCCTTGAACGAGTGTTCCACGGAGACAAGACTGCCGAGCAATTGGCGAGAACTACGGAGCAAGCTCCAACGGGTGTCGAAGAAGAGTATCAAGATATCCTGGCTGGCATATTCCGTGACGAGTCCAATGGCCTCGGTGCACTTGCTGCAGACGGAGAACCTGTTTTAGAACCAGGAAACATTCCTAACCCTGCGTTAGGAGAACTTGAAAACAACCCCTCATTCAACCCGTATGGCGCTGTTCCACCCCCATCTGGTCTATCCGGCATTTTCGACACGGAACTTCCAACGCATTCTGGATTCTTATTCGGCCAAGGTGCGACTGACGTTCAGGAGGGCATGAATGCGCAGCTGGACGCATCAACGTCAAATATGCCGGGAAGTGGTGGTTTAGAATTTTTGAATAGCATCCCCTCATACCCAACCAACAACCATCATTCAGGACCGAGCCAGAATGTCATCGAACCACTCAGGCACAACGGAATTGCGGAAACAGCTCCGATATTTGACCAAGGCGGTGTTAGCCAGTTCGGACTGAGGACTGGAAGCGCACAGGACTTTGACGGAGATGTAGAAATGATGGATTAAGCGCCGTATGTTCTAGAGAAAAAAGACAGTTCTGGAGATTCAGAGGGGATGCAATATTGGCATTTGCAATGATGCAATTTCCGGATTTAGTCGTAGTTCTTGACTGAAAATGTTCGTATCTATCTTGACCCTTTAGTGGAGACTGAAATGTGTAAACGACCGAGATTGAACAAAATGGACGAAGACGACGAAAGCACTTTCGAATGGGAAGTTGTACACGTTTGGGCCATTGTACAAAATTCTACAACACAGAGGCTTAACAGTTTTCCATGTCTAGAGCACTGGAGCATCCCATGCAGTCCGATGCGAAATCCAGAAATCCTCAGGGATGTTCATGATTAACATCTCTGAGGATTTCTGTTCGCTATGATGGCGATTAATATCTACAGGCACAGAAGCGAACCAATTTAGTGCGAGAGGAAAACAATAATTGGTCTTGTTGGGGCCTCTCAATATCCAGATAAGCCAACTCACACACGTGTCAAGCACTTCCCTTTTTCAACCATCCCGCTGTTGAACACACACCCGGCTCAACAGGAAACATCAGCATCTCCTGCGCAGCAATCCCGTTACTCATTCCCATCCGCGTCACCATGACCACTACCCCCATGAAAATTGGCAAGCTCAAGGTCGGCCAACTCCGAAAGGAGCTGCAGTCGCGCGGCTTAGACACATCCGGCACGCGCCCCGCACTCATGAAGCGCCTCAAGGAGGCGCTGGAGGCGGCAGAAAACGCACCGGAAAAGCCTGCGGAAGCCGCAGAGGAAGTTGCGCAGCAGAAGACCGAGGCGGCGCGGACGGAAGAAGAAACGGGACAGGCGGCGGCGGCGGCAGAACAAGCGGCGGCGGTAGATCAGGCAGTCCCAGAAGAGACGATCGTGGAAGGGGGCGCGAGCGAGGGGGTGCCGGCCGAGAAGGTGGAGGAGCAGGAAGGCGGGAAGGCGATCGCGACGGGGAGCCTAGTGCGCGCGAGCGAGGAGTCGATGGACGAGCGGCTGCGGAAGCGGAGGGAACGCTTTGGGATTGTGGAGCGTGCGAAGACTGAAGGGAAGGGGAAAACACGGGAGACAGAGGAGGAGCGTAAGTTTGAGGAGGCGAAGAAGAGACGCGCCGAGAAATTTGGGACGGCGGAAGAGGGAGAGGAAGGGATTTCAAAAGAGGAGAGGGAGAGGAGGTTGAAGAGGCAGAGGAGGTTTCAGTCCATTGGGAATGCGACGGCAGTCTAAGGAGTTTGTGAATAAAGAGGGCTGTGCGAGATTGATGAGTTTGTTTACGGTATTCGAATGGAGCTAATCGAGCCCCAACTCGAGCTTGGCGTTGTGTAGAGAGGAAGGGGCAAAAGACGATAACAGAATATAACCGGGAGTCATGTGATGATGGTTTACTACATGACGGTAGGTCTATTTCTTCGCTGCGCTTTTGTCGGCCTTCTCGGCGGCCTTCTCAGCCGCGCGCTTCTTCCGGATACCCTCGAGTTTCTTGTTGGATTTCTCGATACGCAGCGACCTATACGCAGTCTTGGCGCGATCATCATTGGTGATAGGGCGGACTTCAATCTCAGCAGTGGTCTTCTGAATGGGCATGAGCTTACCCTCCAGTTGGGCGGCCATGGCCAGCTCCTCCTTCTTGGCCTCGCCTTCCTTCGGCTTCGCGGGATTCTTCGGGAAGACTATGAGCTTGGTCTTGAACTCCTTGAGCCTCTGGACGTTATCCTGCATGGCGTCCAAGGAGCGGTTCTTCCTGCGTGGGTCGACAGCGATGCCGATGGTGGGCGCGTAGCGCACGGCAATGCCGGCCTCCTTGAGCTCCTCGAGCGAGAAGCCGCGGCCCAGACGCACGTGCATGTTGTACTTGTTCGTCGGGCAGCGCACGATGGGGCGCAGAAGCCCGTCGATCGGGCGCGGAGCAGACTTGGCGTACTTGAGCACGCGCGCCGAACGGCGACGACGCTTGCGCATCGGCTGCTCGAACCACGTGCGCACGCGCAGCTGCCATTCCTTGCGGAAATGGTTATTCGGGATCACATTGTTGTGCTTCATCGTGCGTTAAGGGAGGGAGCACGCCACGAGGAGGGCGTCGGATCGAACAAAATGCTGCGCGCGGGTGAGGGGTGCTGGGGAAGCAGCTATCGGTGCGAGTGATAGGAGTCTGAGGGAGAGGGGCGTGATCGCGTGCAGTGGGGCGGCACGGGTCGCCGAGCGGCGGCGGCTGCGTGGGGGGCGGTATGATAACTGCAGGATTTTGGCAGGGGAGCGATTGGATCGCCTCTGTGAAGGGATCAAGGAGCCGGTGTGAGAGGAGGCATACTGACAGCGGCTTACACGAGTTGTTCATGAGAGAGCGAAAGTTAGGGGGAAGTGATTCAACGGATGGGACGGGTGTCAGGTAGGGAGGGCCCGTGAATTTCTGTTGCCGAAAAAAAAGCGAAAAACAATCCGCCGACGCCGCTTCTGGGCCAACCACCCGCTCCTCCAATCCCACGACCGGCCGCATCGCCCACCCCCCGATCCCCCGCTCCTGTCCCATCCCTCTAATAAAGCTCCCCATTTCCCCCTCTCCCTCCTCCCCCCCCTTCCCCCCCCCCCCCCCCCTCCCATCCT